CAATATTGAGAGATGACCTTTACAACAACAAACTACCGAAAGTAGAGATCTTCCACCGGGTTTAGTTTAGTTGTTTAGTGTCAGTTCACAGTACTTTTCCCTACATTTATGTTGATAAAGCTAAAGTGCGTCAATTTCGTTAAAGAAAAATTAACTCCGACCATAGCCTTATAGTAATGTGGTAGGATATATTTACATACTGCACCTCCCAGGCTTGAGCCGATGAAAAATCTGTTGAAAAAAAATATATTCAAAAGATTCAAAACACAACAACAAAAAGACAAACAAGAAGTAAAAAAGGAGATTTAATTGACACTTAGATCTGTCAATTTTTTTCTAAGCGTCTGTAAATACCAGCGAGAAAAGGGATACGTATGCGTTTTGACCATGGGTGAGGTCAAGATGGCTGGATATTGGCCGAGTTTTTTGTTTGTTTGTTTGGTTTTTTTTTTGCGTTTTATCAACCGAGATGAAGTTTAGGTCCATAAAAGTGCGAAAAAGAATGAGTCAAACATCCTGCCGTCTTGACTTCACTTTTGCATGATCAAGAGAGGATTTATTGTATTAAAAGAGATTTCGCTCAGATATGAATCAAGAAAGACTTTTTTTTTTCGAGAGCCAGGAAGGAAAACCAATCGTGTTTGTAGCAGAATTAACCCACCAGACTAGTTTATGTATTTGTTTTATGTATTTGTTTTGAATCTCTTTTTCTCCTTTTGCAACTCAGCTCAACTAGTAGCAGTAGCAGTAGCAGAAGCAGAAACAGGAGCAGAAGCAGTAGCAGTAGCAGTAGCAGTAGCAGTAGCAGTAGCAGTAGCAGTAGCAGTAGCAGTAGCAGTAGCAGTAGCAGTAGCAGTAGCAGTAGCAGTAGCAGTAGCAGTAGCAGTAGCAGTAGCAGTAGCAGTAGCAGTAGCAGTAGCAGTAGCAGTAGCAGAAGCAGAAGTAGAAGCAGAAACAGAAACAGAGGCAGACGCAGTAGTAGTAGCAGTAGTAGTATCAGTAGCAGTAGCAGTAGCAGAAAAAGAAGCAGAAGCAGTAGCATTAGCAGTAACAGTAACAGAAGCAGAAGCAGAAACAAAAGCGGAAGCACTGGCAGTAGAAGTAGTAGTAGCAGTAGTGGTAGCAATAGCAGTAGCAGTTGCAGAAGCAGAAACAGTAGCAATGGCAGAAGTAGTAGTAGTAATAGCAGTAACAATAGCAGTAGCAGTAGCAGCAGCAGTAGCAGTAGCAATAGCAGTAGTAGTAGCAGAAGCAGTAGCAGAAGCAAAAGCAGTAGCAGAAGTAGTGGAAGCAGCAGAAGAATAAAAAATAATAGCAACAGTATCAGTAGTAGTAGCAGAAGTAACAATAGCTGCTTGAAATCTAGCTCGGAATGTTATTTCACTGTGACTTGACAAAGATTTTGATGTGATGCATCAAAGATGAAGACAGAATATTTACCCTAAATAAGTCATGCTTGTGTAGAGGCTTGAAAGCTCTGCATTTGTTTTCTCGTTGTCAGGCATTCCATTTTCCCTACACAATAGCAAATAAATGTAAAAGTTAGGTTATGCTTAACGTAACCGTTTTTTGGATATTATCACAAAATCGCGATTTAATTTGGTGGTTTTAATTTTTAAAATTTTCTCCTCTTAGTATATCTTGGGGTTCATAAATGAAGGGCTTTGTACTCGGATTATTAGAAATGCCGATCGCCCACAGAAACACAGGAATGTCCTGCGGAGTCTAAGGAAACACTCAGCAAAAACATATGTCGTGGGGAACTATCTATGGGTTGTGCGTGACAGACTTATTCGAAAAGGTTGTGTTTTGTCAAGGTTGTGGGCGGCTTGAGTGCGCCAGAACTGATCGAGTAATAGCAGCAAAGACTGCTTAAACTACGAGCCCCTATCTTAAATTTTCATATTTTCATGATTTTGCAGCAAGGCCCTTTTGGGCTTTCACCGAAACACTCTTCTTCTTCACACATTACATAGTCTTGTATAATACGCAGAAATTATGGCAAAGATCACCATGCACGCGCAACTGAAATCAAGAGATGTCTGGTGGAATTCAAGAACCGGATGTTTTACCGCCAGAAAACATCTCGGAAGTCATTTAAATGTATTTTAAAACATCATAATTACCTTTTTACACTATAGCGGACTAAATAATTCAGTTCGAAAATACTCTTTTGCAAATAAACCACGCGCATTTCAAAAATTTCAATGTAGTTTCAATAATTAGTTTTTAAAAGTTTGCAAAATTTTTTCTCGGGAAATTTAGTTAAAACAGTAATACTAGTTTGACTTGAGAACAAAAACAATTTTAAAAAAGGATAGTACTGCTACTTCGATGTAAAAATAAGGTGTACATTGGAGAGACTGGAAGACCTATACAAGACAGAATTAAGGAGCACGATCGAGACATTTGACTCGCCCGTACCGAGACCTCCGCCGTTTCAGAGCAAGCCCACAACACCGAACATAAGCCACTCTAGAACGAAGTAAAGTTTATTAATCGTGACCCTTATTACTACACACGCAAGGTCAAAGAGGCAATTCATATAAGACTTCACCCTAACAACATCAACAGGGATAGTGGAATAGAAATTCCAGAAGCGTGGATGCCCACGATCAAAAAACACAACAACAGGAGAGCCGTGTGACAGCGGACCGCCGAGGAAGCAAATCCCTGAGTGTACAGCAAGGATCGAAATGTACCAATCAGAGCTGTTGAATAACAACTAATCACAGCAGAGCATCATGCTTTATAAGATCACGCATGATCAGTCGACCTCATCGCCTGAAGAAGACTAGCAGTATGCAGTCGAAACGTTGCGATCCACATCACACGTGACTACATCGTGAGACAAACGGAAAACTTAGCTTTTATTGTTATTCACCACGATGAATAACCACAACCTTTTCTACAACATTATTGTACTTACCTCAATTGGTAAGAATGGCGCGTAAACTGAATATGCTGCGTAAAGGACGAAGTAAACCAGGCACATCGAATAAAGAAGGACTATGTTACGCGAAGTCCAGGTTTCTTTGTTTGTCTCCGGGGGGGGTTTCAGCGGAGCTATCAGTTGGGAGAGTCTTGGAGCTGTTATTCTTCATGGTGAAATCTCTGTCAATATGCACCGATATGCTATGAACGCTGACTTACTTGCAAGTAGTACGTGGGATCATCACGCGTGCGAGTGGCAGGGTTTATAGGGCGAGTCTTAGTCTCCATGTTTCGGCTGATATTTTTCGGAAAAATTATTTTGCAGCAGTTTGCATATAACTTACGAAATTGTTACAGGCATGTTAAGACGAGGTCGGAGGGCTTTCTCACCCTTCTGTCTAGATATCTGGTTAGCAAAACTTCCTTTCATGATAATTTTGGCCAAATTATGTCTCTACTGACGACGGCAATTAGCTACCAAGGGCAGACTGATAAAAAAGATTGTGCGATATTTCTTCTGAGAGGCAATAGGGATGAGCAAAGAGCTTTTTACCTTCTTATCCAAAGATGGAATACCGATATGAAGAAGTTAGAGATGTTATGAGTTTCTAAAGTTAATGTTTCGAGCCGGTTAGCCCTTCGTCAGAGGATTTTTGGGTAGTGTTTGGTTTATTTACATAAGCACGGAGCTACGCTGTTGGTAGGAACATGGTAAAGCGAAGAAAAAAGAATGAGTTAGTTGAATCGAAAGTGTTTCTTAATACTGTGGGACTAGGGATGTCCATTGCAAGGTTTTTTTTTTGTTGTTGTTCTAGAGTTTTGCGGCTTTTTGAGCTGTCTAGATGTGGCGAAAGGCCACAGACTGTCATATCGTGCCTAGAATGATTTGGAAGATAAATTGTCTAGCGACTGATTTGAATGTGTCTGAATCCTTACTACGTCACGAAAGTGTTCTCGGAATCAGTCGCCAAATCATCTTCCTGTTTTAAGTTTTCAGATTTTGCCTGGGTTTGAAGTCTGAAATATCTAGCAAACGCACTAAAGCAATTTTATCATGTTCGAGCAATTTAAACATAAGGCTATGATGCAGTCGAAAATTTTTAGTACACTCTCGCCTCCTTTGAGCTTGTTGAGAAACCTACGATTGACCACTTGTCTGACGAAAAGCTGTTAAAAGGATGTTTATTTCACAAAATAATTTATTCATGTCTCCAACATAAACTAGAAGAGAAATTTTGAAAAATGAGAAAAACCCCGGGACCGAATGAAATAAAATTGCCTCTCGAAACGCATGTTCAGCTTGTTTGAAACAGAGGAGACAATGTGTGGTCTTTCATAATTTCAATTAAGATGGAATATTGGAATTTCATATCAATGTAACAGGCTGCAGGGGATATTTATCAATTGGTTCCTAGGTGCTTCATCGATATATCAAGCACGCGGGAAGTTTGATGAGCACGAAAGTAGCGTAGGAGTTGCTCAAGGCGCAGCCAAGAGTAACTCTAGCCTCTTGAAACTATCCAAGTGCTTTATTTCTCGATGTGCATTTCATTTTGTCAGCTGTGCATTTCTCAAGATATGAATCACTTAGAAAGTTTATCTTATGCGATCCCCAAACTTTCCACGTGCTGCATATCTCATTGAACGCACTCCGACTTATGAAACAAACATTCGAAATCCTACATAACTTTAACATAACTTTCTCTCTGATTGCCCGAAAATCTATCGTTTATTGTGCCGCTAAAGCACTAAAACTCTTCGGCCTTGAGTCATGTTTTGATGTCATATCTTATGCGGAGGCAACTCTAATAGATTAACTCTCAGTTAAAGAGACGAGCTACCCCAAAGCTGAGCTGAGAAAAAAAAAACATGAATTTGACCTCCCTTTTTCAACTTTAAAGTCCTTAAGTCATTGAAAATCCATGGACATCAAATATCGGAACGGAAATTGTCGTGCTATTCACAACCTCTGCGTCAATGTGTCAAGCTCGATGGTGCAGAAAGTCAAACCCAGTTCTAACGCGGTCCAACCCTCTTTCCTTTTTTTTATGAATTTTTATAACATGCTTTGAAAAGAAAGCTGTTGTTGAGAGTTACAATAAGTTTTCGACATTTTGGTCAAAGTACTATCCATCCAAACTGAAAATGACTATTACCTGTAGTTCAGAAATTCGATCCGATGATGATAGGGAAAGCCTAATGATTGACAGCCTTCAACTCAGCGAGAAAGAGGCAAAGTGCTCCTCTGGAGATGATTCACCTGCGCTTCTTCACCACATAGCTCTCTGCGCCAGCAACGGTGTTTGCAGCTTTATGGCGTTTGTAACATACTCTTTGTTTTCACCATTCTTTCCTCAAGAGGTTAGCACTTATATTTATTGATTAATGATATATCACAAATGAAGCCTACCGTAGTTATTCGGTTATAAGGAGCACTCGGCTATAAGACGCACCCCCAATTCGGCAACTTCATTATTGCATGTTTTCAAACTGAGAAAATTGCTAAAATACTTGGTTATAAGCCGCACCGTTGTTTGGGGAGTAAAGATCGGTCAAGTTTATAGTAAATTCTTTCATAAACTTACAAAAAAGCGAAAAAGTCGCGTATTGATTTTAATTTACCGTTAATCAACAAAAGCAGAATTGTCGCACACGCGACCACGCACACAAACAAAAGCCTTGATTAAACAAGATGTACCGCCGAGAATGCAGGTCTCAGTGCACTAAAAAGGCTGAACGGATGAAGAAGGTATTTACCTCTTCGCTTGTTTATTTTCGTTTCGTTTTGTGACGTATCAAATTATTAAGCACGTGCTCTCGAGCACGTATCACATCTATGCAAATTTGACTTCGCTTGTCTTTTCAGAACCACCATATTCATAAAAGTCAATGTGTGTGTGTCATTTTATTTGCTTGAAATCGTACCAGTAACTGTGATCAAAAAAAATTGTTTCGGGAAAATATTCGCCCATATAAGACGGACCCAAACTTTGGCGGTAATTTTTAGTAGAAATTAGGAATTTCTTGAAAAAAACGGTGCGCCTTATAACCGAATAACTACGGTACATTGGAAAATAAATGTAATTCCTAGTATAATAAGTGACTAGTTGTCCTCATATAATGATTTCAAACTCTAAATCAACAAAGAGGGTTACGGATGCTCCTTTTTAGAATATTGAATCATGTACCCATAATTTATCAGAAGTGTGTAAAAGTGTGCAGTATAAAAGAGGATGTGGTAATATTTTTCATTGATAGTTTCGTAACCAGAGTATTTTGAGATTGACTTCAATTTGAATTTTAATCTCCTGCTTGTAGCTATTGATATTCTTAAAAGCATGTATAATAAAGCCTTTTCTTCTTCTTCTTTTTTAAATATTTGTTTTTGTGAATGATGATTTACACCATTTGTATGATCCTTAAGGAAACATTTCTTCTTCTAGGAAAAACAAAACTGCCCATTTTATGCGGAGGTTACAGACAATATGACAGAAATAATCAAATACATATTCCTTTACAATAAAGAACTTTTTAGAAAATTTTAATCTCTTCCTTAGAAGTAAATCTCTTCCTTAGAAGTAAATCTCTTCGTGTTATGTCTGCACCCTGGAAAGCATCAAGATAATAGCTTTTAACGTACATTAAACTTATAAAAAACCTGATATCATAATGCTATGATCTCATATTATGATCGTGGAATTATCGTCATCATCATTTATTTTTAGCAATACAAAACAAAACAAATTTCTGAAAGGATTATAATTGATAGAAGGATGGATATTGATATATACATTGATATGGATATTGATAGGAATTGATAGATGTCATTATAACCTAGTGGATTTTTTTACTGTTATTTTTTCCAGATCTAACGGAAAAACTTTAAACCTTACCTTCATCTTTTCCTCTTAGATCAATGTCAACATTCTCTAAAAAGTTTTAAATCTGGCTTTCAGATGAGTTGTAAAACGATGGTGACATTTTTCTACTGTTACCAATTCTAATGGAAAATGTCTGTGGTCAAAATCAGATTTGATTCTCTAATTAAAGAAAGGGCTCGTTAAACAATTGCCTTCAATCCAACAGGAGAGGGCAGTACTCGAGCTCAGATTTCTCTTGAGTTAGTTGACTTTGGACTCTTCGAAGCATAGTTATTATCATCCCCATCAGTATTGTCTACTTTGTGGTTTTTTAGGCACGTTCTGTAAATCATTCACTATTCTTTCCCAGTGAGGGTAGCACCTAGCACTTCCAATCGCTCTGACAAAGGGCTAAAGCTCGAAGCGTCAGCTTTTTTACTTTTGACAGCGGCCAATTTACGTTTTCAACTCAGTTGTTAACACTAAATTACATGCTGGCTCTTAAATTTTTTTAATGAATACTAATATACTTCTGTCTAGGACGCCCACGTTTGCCAATTTTTACACTCTATTAAATTTAACCAGTATGTAATGTGTTAACGATTCTCATTCCTAAATGTCATTTTTTCCCTTGAAATTACGGAAGGGCTCGTTAAACAACAGCTTTCAATCCAACAGGAGAATGCATTACTCGAGCTCAGATTTCTCTTGAGTTTGTTGACTTTGGACTCTTCGAAGCATAGTTATTATCATCCCCATCAGTATTGTCTACTTTGTGGGTTTTTTAGGCACGTTCTGTAAATTCACTATTCTTTCCCAGTGAGGGTAGCTAGGAATCTCTGCGATATTTCAATTGGTTTGTCACGCATTTCTCTCGATAACTTTTGCGTTTAGCGGCTATTCGAGATCAGTGGAGGCGCGTAATTGCCGCTCAGATCGAAGAGAAACTGGAACCCAAATAGGTCAAATAGGAAAAATCGAAAACCGCATCGGATATCAAATCCGAAAACTGCATCGGATATCAAATCCGGAAACCCGCTGGTATTTTTCGCGAAAACCGAAAACCAGATGCTGAAAATAGGTATATCCGCAAACCGCAATGAACACCAAAACCGAAAAACCCTTTTGGTACAAAAACCAAAAAACCGATCTAAAAAATAGCTGAAACCGCAAAACCGAAAATCCCAATGCCCCCCTCGTTTTGGTCTCGGTCCGCATTTTTGTCAACAGAATTAACACACCGTTTAAAAAGATGATAATATGAACCACGTGTAAAGCTGTCAATTGTTTCTCGAATGTTGCGCGTGTTAAATATTCAGTAGTGACATCTCATTAACATCTACATCTACATCTACTTTTATTACATTGGTAAAATCTGTACAGACATCACACCAACCAACTCGCGCGCAAAGTGAGAAGACTATATGAAGGCTTCAAATTATATTAAGATCGATTTTGATCAGGAAATGGGCCAGAAATATTCCACAATAATGCAAATAATCGTGAAAGCTGATCGCGGAAAAGCGATTGCGTGACGCTCGGTAAGTTGTAAGATGACATGTTATCACACGCCAGACGAAAAAGCTCTTTAGATTCTTAGTATGCATTTTGTACCCAGTCTGCAGTCTACATTTTATACCTAGTCTACATTTTATACCTAGTCTACATTTTGCATCCGGTCTGCAGTCTGCAGTGTGCATTTTGTACCAACAGGTATCCGTGGCACCAATATAATTTATTTTTGGTTACAGTTATTCGCACAACACACACAATTTACCACAAAATACCTGTGTGTGAGTTAATGCGACATTTTTTTTCTTTTCCGCGTTAATACTCTTCTTTCCTTTTGAAAAATGTAGACATCACTTATAATGTTTCAAGTAATGCAGTCATGGAATTTTCATGGAAAAGATCCCTAGCTTCCTAGGATTTTAATTCGTCTCCTGGATAAGGAAGTGTTGGTGCAAAGGGGAGGATGGTAAAAAAGAATCTCTTTCACAAGCTTCAACATTGCCATGACTGAAAATTGAAAAAAGAAATACTCTGTACACTCATGGCAAAAGGCTCATCACAATTACCTTGAAGAGTACAGAGGTAGAAGGTTTGAGGGGAGAGGGGTGGGGCAAAGGGCTAAACTGGCAGAAGTAGGAGCTTAATGAGGGTCTAGGGATGGTTGTTGTGCATAGTTTCCAATCAATAATGCCTCTTTTATGGTTTCTTTTATAAGTTTTGCGATTTATCATTCAATTTTTCTTCTCCTTTTTTGTTGACTTAAAGGCAAGGGATAAAGGCGTGTCTGGAACTATAGTGGGTTTGATCTTTGGAACTTATTCGTTTGTGATTTTCATCTTTTCGCCATTTTGTGGAGTTCTTGTAAGTATTTGACTCTGAAGGATATTCATAATAGTTGAAATATTTGAACCATTTGTTTGTATATTTATCATTATTCCCTTTTTCAGCCGATTAAATACTCCACCATACTTATTTAAGTATTCATTTTTTGCGATAAATAACTTAGTCACATTCACATCAGAGTCAACTCAACAACAGTTTTTGTTTCCATATTTTCTTGAATATTAGCGCCCGAGCGATTTTTTAAAATTTCGGCTGAAAGGAGAGGCGCTTATTGGAAAGAGGGCGTTTAATCAAGGGCAAGGGGAGGGGGGGAGGGGTGTGCTTAGTGCACAGCAATAGGATGAAAACCAAAGAACAGATAACACACATAAGTGATCTCAGTACCACATGGAGATAAAAATAACTGAAACAGAAAAGAAACTATTCTCCTGAACTGATTTTGCGGTAGTTGAAGCTTGTAAAAGTTATAAATAAAGTGGCAATAGGAACAGGTTTTTCTTGTACTCCTACCTCTTAAGAAAGTAAGGGAGGAAGTAGGGTGCTTGTTTGAGATTATGGGGATGGGCGCATATTCGGGAGAGGACGCTTACCGGTATTTGAGTTTGGATGCTTATTCGAGGAAATACAGTATTTTAGAGTTACTTCTTAAGATAACAAACTTCATCCCCTTCAGATCAAAGTGGGCTTAACGAGGCAGAAACTGAAACAGTTTATAAAAATAGTGCATTATGACAAATCTATATTTGGCATCCTCAACCCTTTAAATTCTAATAGTGACAAGCATCTTATTCCTCCTTACAATAATACTGATGAGTCATTCATTAAGATAATGAGAATAAAGGAAATGATCTCCATCCTGAGAAGCTTTGATAGATAAGTGAATTCTCCTTGTCTGTACCAAAGAAATGTACAGAAAAGAGTATAGAGAATTTAGATGCTGACATTTGGGCGTAAAGGGATAATATGATGATTTATGAGAACCACATGGCCACAACTCAGTTATATGTAGTTTTCTGCTTGGATCAACAATTGAATTCCAAGCTTTTTCATAATCATTTACTGAGGAGTAATTTGTATCACTTGCAGATACCAAAATATGGCCCTAGGTTTGTTCTCTACTCAGGGCTTGTTCTTTGTGGGGGATCATTGGTTTTATTTGGGTGAGCTAAAATGTTGAATTAAATGATTTCTGTATTTAATCAAACAAAGAATCCCTTGGTTGCCATCTTTTCTTCTCCTCATCACTCTTCTGCCTAAAATTGTATGGATATTATAAAGAGAAATTTCTCTCAGGTCATTCTTGGAATCGAAAAAAGGCTAGCTCCCAAATGCAGCATTTTTTCAATGGCTTGATCAGCTGGGAAAGACTTTAGCAAGTAAATATGCTGAGCACTGTTAAAAAAAAAGCACTGTTATAAAGTTTAAACGGTTTTGGAAATGAAGTGTGAAAAGCACTAAAGGGAAAAACTAAGAGGTTAAAAAGATCTAACTTGCCCCTTTACTGCTTTAAACAAAGATACACTATGTATGGCTTTTGTATCTTTCAGATTTTGTGACATGATTGTAGATCGGGATGTGTTCATAGCTGTTTGCTTTGTGTTAAGAGCAACATGTGCCATTGGAGGGGCTGCAACTGAAACCTCAACAGTGTCCATTTTACTGACAAAATTTCCTGATAATGTTGGAATGGTTTCAGTATGTGGGATTTTTTTCTTGAATTCAAACTAAATCAATTTTGTAATAAATGTATTGTTGGTCTTAAAATGTGAAGATTACAGTAATGATGTACTTTGATATGCACGATGAATTAGAGGTTCTAGTCGGTTTAAAATGTTATGAAAGAAATGCGCAGTTATCATATGACGTAGCATAGCGACTGATGAATGAATGCTTATTTTTAGTTATAATTATAGCGTTTCGAAATCCCCCGGTGGAGGACAAACCGTTTTAAAAACACCTTCATGATGGCCTCCACCATTAAATATAACAACAACAGTTAATTAACGACCGTTTCCTAGAAACCTATGTAGATAATGTAAATATAGCTTTTAAATATAGATAGGTTTTAGCTCATAGATTTTTTAATTGTTTATAATTTTGAATATTCTTATATACGTTATATAATATATTTATTTAATTACATTATTGTAATATACGCAATTCAGCCGCAAGGCTGCTAGGTATATTTAAATAAACTATCTATCTATCTATCTAATGATTAAGGTGGCTCTATCAAACTCGCTGAGAAAAGGCATCACTCAGTAGCCACTGTATAAAGCTTGTCATGACATTTCCTGAGTAATTCTCTTTTTCTTTAAACGTCATTTTCTAGGGCGTGGTGGAGACAGCTGCTGGAGCCGGAAATGCCTTTGGTCCAGTTATTGGAGGATTTCTTTACACAGTATGTACAAGGCATGATCTTTATCTGATACATTATCTGGTTTAAATTTGTAGGTAATATATCAGGCAAATATGATCTGGTAAGCATCCTTAAATTGATGAAATTGAACAAGGAAGTCATGTCGATCGACGTTACATTCAAAAACGTTACTGGTTTTCTTTTTTTCTTTGAACACCTATACTCCTTTCAGCCAGGTTTCAGTACTCGTGTTGTCTAAGAGACGCTACCTCACCCCCCACCCCTCCCCTACATCATAGTGAGGTTGAACACTTAGTTATCTCAGCTTTTTCGTCCACAGAGCATATCGAGGAAATAAACAAAGATATTAGTAACTGGGTAATTAAAGCTGCAGTGAAATGCTGTCATCAATGTTCATTCATCTTAAATGATCTCATTTCTAGGTTGGTGGTTTTAAACTTCCATTTTTTGTCACGGGTGGCACTCTGATTGCTGTAATTCCAATTATAGCATTGGCACTTGGCAAAGGTTTGATTTTGAGATTTTTTTTGACCATCTAGTTTATCTTACTGGTTAAATATCAACAACGATTCCACGAAAGCTTTCTTTTAAGCTGAAGTAATAAAAATAAATTACAAACAGGTTCAAGAAAAATAGTTTGCCGCGAGTAAACAAAATAGCGGAACGGCGTTTGAATCAGTGCATATGCACGGCTCAATGTTGTTGTCTTTCGATTTTGCTCCAATAATGTAAGGAAATTGAAAGTTAAGTCATCATAATGGAAATAAATTTCACCAGCAAAAATTCCAATTTTTATTCTACCTTTATTTCACTAAAAATTATCCAGAAAATATTAAAACTGCCTCCAAGGCTTGCAAACTTTCAACAAAAACTTCAGTAAAAATTATCAGATCGCAATCGCAGAGGTAGCCAATTCTGGCCACAAAAATCGCATTTTAGCCATCTGAATTGAAGTATTCTTCAGAAGCGCGTCATAGTTTGTGCCTTCATCTTGCATATGGCCATTTCTCTTCAGTTTTCTTTTTTAATCTGCTCGAGTTCTCGGTGCCATTGTGTTCATTCATTGAGAAATTAGTTTTACTCTTTGCTCTTCTGACCGGCAGGTCATTCAGTTTCAGGCTCTCTGACTGGTTTAATCGCACTTTTTGAAGGTTTTCATGAGAATCAGCGACTTGATCACAAAATAGAAATAAATTTATCATTCTATCTTGTAAGCTTCTCGGCTGCGCCTCGTGGTTTGTAAACTTTTCACGTGTTCTCCCAATATTACGCTGTAAACCGATAGAAAAAGGGGTTTATTGCTTAAATACATGTTAAAAAGGCGCTGAGATTCAAAGATCCGTCAATATGATTAGGGAATGAGTAAGCACAAACGTCAGTCTATAAACAATCTTTCAGTTCACTCTTGAGTCGTTGTTGTTATATATGTCTCCTTTTTTATGATGTACGCTGCATAGACATAAACTAGCTTTGAAATCGTTTCAAGGTAATATGTACCATTACTCTTTAACAAACACTTTGGTAACCAATTATCATGTTAGCCACCAACATGAAAATGCAGGGTAGATTGGTGATTGTGTCAGTATACCGATGCATTTGTTCGCGGATTGGCTGCACCCCAGGTTTTTCATTAAATTTTTGGAAAGTGTCGAAACGCTTGTACCTGCGTATAAGACGCACCCCTAACATAAGTTCCATTCTTTGGCTGTGGCTAATCTAGGAGTAAAAACAGTATATCAAGCCCATCCTTTAGGATCGTGTGGGTAAAAAGCATTTAACTGAAAGGAAGTTAAGCCCTAGGGCCGCATATTTTTTTTGCTGATCACCTCTAACTCAGGCTATGGGAATAAAACGAGAAACAGGAGTTCCTCCACTGCATTTAGTGTAGTTTTGAGCCATATTAGCCCATCCCTGAGAAGTTTCTATCTAATATTACATTGTTTTAATTTAAAAACTACAAAGTAGGAGAAGAAGAGAAGAAAGACGAGGACAAGGAATCAATATCCAGGTTAAAAGTGCTTAAAATTCCATCTGCACTCATGTTATGTAAGTACATGAGTACTCTTAACATTTAACCTATTATTTCTGACAATGGATGATGGAGAGTTAATATTACTGGATAATGTGATTGCTGATGCACCCTGGGTTGAGGGTAGCCAGAATACTTCTTTTGGCAGAACATTTATGTGGATACCACGCCTATCTCAAAACAAGTACCTCTGAAAATAAGTCAGGATCAGCGATTGAAAAGAGCAGAGGCCTTTTATTTAAGCTACATGTGTTAATGAGTTAGAGCTGTTACAATTGTAAAGAGAAATGAGATTGGTCTCTGATAAATTTTTCTGCCATTTTATTCCAGCTCTCTGCTTTGTCGTCAGTGGTTTTTCATTTCCATACTTTGAGCCTGTCTTAGGGCCGCATTTAGAGCAGGTACACCACGACTTTTACTTTAATATTATGACAGGTGTTTTTGACTTAACATATAATGCTTTAGACTGTCACAGAGCATGCTACGTCAACTGTATGCTTTTATCAAATTTGACCTGTCTTCGAGAGGAAAACCTGGGCACCAAGATCTTTTAACGCGAACATTCGAAAATACTCCAGGATTTCGTTAGTTTTGTTTCACTTCCCTTTTGTGATTCACTAAACTCGCGCCAAAAATAAAAGTGATCACGAATGGGTCACTTGCATTTCATTGTGCATCACGTAGATTCCTTCTTTGTACTTAATTTGAGTTCCTTATAAGCTCTGTGGGATGTTTTTCTATTTTCTGAGTAGACATTGTCACTACTTCGGTTTCCTGTGTTAGACACTAAGTCGACAGGCTCTCATTATTATTAACGCTGCAGGACGCGCTTTTCTCCGCACGTTGGAAGGTTCGAGACGAGTCGGGAAGAGGTTTGCTGGAATCTGGCAGAGCCCAAACAAACCCCTGGCCGGCTTGCTTTTCTGAAGAACTCAGGCTTCCTCGCAGGCAAAGAAACGCTCGTGTTGCAGCGCTCATGATGAGTGTCTGCTTGAAGGCTTAATAGAAATGCCTGTTTCTAGTTAGTAAGTTGCTTCACCTAAAATTCAGTTCGCCAAAATTTTAGAGCCGTCTGTCTTCCAAGCTGAGCTCAGTTGTCCAATTTTTTAAGGTTCTCAAACGATGGTATCTATTCACTTCACAGATGGGTCAAAATACAACACAGATTTATCTCGTTTTTCTTTACTGGTGTGGCACGTACACTCTGTTAGCGCCAATAGTGGGCTACATAGGAGATAAAACGGTAAGTTTTCGCTTTAGCATAGCAACAATTAACTTTGCATCAGGATCTGACATTATCACAATTTCCAAATCTACGGTCCAAGAAATTTCATCAAAAAGACAAGCGACTACCATCAAAGGATACTAAGACTTCTTCATGTGAGTTTTTTTTTTCTTTTATATGGAATTGTAAGGGAAGGGGCGGGGTTCCCAGTGCATTATGGAATCCGTAATGGCATGTTCAAACTGAATTTCACGATGACCAACAAGGTCCATTCCTTCCCAATCAAGAGTGTATTTCTCAGAGGCCGGGGATTGGGTTGCGTTGAAATAAAATGGATTATAAAAAGCAAAAAGTGCTGTGGAAAAATGGCGAGTTTTGGCGACGTCTTGCTGTAGAGAGTTTTCCCAAATATTGTTTACTTGGATTTCTGTAGGTTCTCTAGGGAGAACAGTTACCGTTACCTCCGATTTACTGTTGATTCAGTTGTCAACTCGAGGCGTCACTTCAGAGAAAAACTCATATACCCGCAATCTGGGTTCGCTTGTTAAAAACTCATGTTGACGCCTCTTCCTCGTGTGTGATTTAGTGTGACTTAAAAATAAATGCATGATTTTTATACGATTCCATTCTTCTCTATTAATTTCTTCTCAGAACTGTTATCGATCGATGATTATAGTAGGTTTCATTGGATTCTTCATTGGATTTCTGTTGATGGGACCTGCTTCATTTCTCACGTTCTTACCACCTAAGTATGTGTACTAATCATTTTGCATACTCTTGAAATGTTAACGCTTTAACTCCCACGGGATCTAATTGTTATTTTCTATTTTGGCTGCTACAAATTTCCTTGAAAATTGGTAACAAGAATTTGGTGCTAGATCACGAAAAGACTTCTACTTGATAAGATCGATTATTCTCCTTACCTGTTTGCTGGACAATGTATGGAAATTATAGTGATAGTTTACAGGTTTATAACTTCTGGGAGTCATAAGGTGAAGAAAAAGTACACGTTAGCAAATAATACTCACAGATAAGCTGCAATTTAAGCAATTGCAGAAAAAAGCCTGTAAAAGTTCAGGTTTCAATAGGATTCGAACGAGCGCTTCTAACCACTGAGCCGCAGAGCCACATTTAGTGAGCAAGGCAAATTTAAGTGGGGCCTTTATTTGCCTTAAAATAATTTAAAATGAAATGAAGTAAATGATATATTGGCTTGTCAGAGGAGAGTGTACAATCCTTACATTCCTCCACAATAACCTTAAACGTATTGGAAATGTGCTAACAAATATACTGAGAACATTTTGGTGAATGATCGAAACTTTTCAAAACTAATCTGTGTTTTGAGCGATTGGTACATGTTCAAACAAGTCAGAGGTCACCAGCGTGCAATCCCACGCAGATTTGTAGCTGCAATTATCAACTTTCAAGCCTATTTCTAAATCAATCGAAAACTGAAGTTCAGTCACCTGAAAAAAACCTTATCTTGATGGTAAACTACTCGTTGGATCCCGCTATTCTTGCAGGACGATTTGGCTGGTTATTTTTGCAATAACCATCCAAGGAATTGCTGGTGGTTTTGCTTTTGTACCCATCATGCCTGACCTTATTAAAAATTTAAGGTAAGTAGCAATGTTTTCGTAAGGCTCGTTTCTTTTCTTTACCAAGGATAAAGTTTCAGTCAGTGAATGGCAGAGTCTAGGAAATCCAGTTGGGAAGAGTTTAAGTTACTGGAAGACAACCTAATTGATTTATTTGTAGATATGTTTTTGTGTCAATGATTTTGGGCTTGCTTTTGTTACCTCTTTTCCTCTTGCAGGGCAAATGGAATGCCCGATAATTCCTCCACAAACGCGCTTGTGTCGAGTATTTACGGTTCTATGTACTATTTAGGGTATGTGCTCTTTTTTCACTGATTCTTTATCTTTTTTGTGTTAGTTGCTGAAACGACAACGATATGAGAGAGGGCAGACGCTAACATCCACTCTTAAAATGGATCATGTACATTTTTTCAATTCCTTCTTTACAGAGCAACAATTGGACCCAGTCTGGCTGGAGTATTAGATGATCATTTTGGATTTGAGTGGGCCATGAGTGTAAGTGCTGTTTTCATCATTCGAGGCATTTGATCTACGCTACGAAACTTAATATTATGAAGAGTTTGGGAATAAGTCAGTATTTATCGAACGGCGGTGGTGGGGTGGGGGAGTGAAGGATTTTGGTAAGGATCACATGGTTTTCAAGGGAAATAGATGGGGGATCACTCCGTTCAGCCGTCGCAACAGAGTATAAGGGGAAACTATGGAAAATTAACTGTTAACTACCTGTCAGTGAGAGGGGACAAGAGATGATGAGACGGATTTTGGTTATGTCAAGATAGAATTTAGTTCCAACAAACTTCCCCCCCCACCCCCCCCCCCCCCCCTCCTTCCTGATTGCTAAATAATGACCAGAGTGTCCTTAACAAAAATAACGATGTACTTGTAACAAGTATTTATTCTCGGTTTCCTACTTTTGCAGGTAGCAGCTTTCATCTGCCTTTTCCATGTGGGTACACTGATAATTTCGCTCCCGCATGATTATTTTACTTTATTTTGGTGTTTCATTCTTTCATATTTCATTCTTAAGAGGAAGATTTTTCTCGAAAAGAAATCTTGTTATTATTTTTGCTATTGTTGTTTTTTTTACGTAAAGGTTTTGTAGTTTAAGTTTTATGAATATCTTCTGTCACTATCTTCGAGTTTCTTTGTTTTTTCAGACCCTGGTGATTTGTTTATTCACGATGAGTGAAAAGATCTCTTTAAGGTTGGTAGATAGTTCAATGACGTTAGTAACAGTTGTTCTTTTTTTTGCTAAAAGTACTTTACTAGTAGCTAGAACCCCTTTTTGGCGTAATCAGGAAGGAACGTAACTGAATTCGACCAGTCCTGATTTAAAATAATTTGTAATTTTTTTGTTACATTGACCCTTTTGGGAGGAATTGCACGCATGAAGAAATAAAAAAATAACTTCAGATAAGCCTTGTCTTACGGTCTTAAAGTGAAACTGAATTAACACGTTGCACGACTACTAGTGTTCTTACGAGCGGAACGTTGATTTACAATTTCTCAGGCCAAGCTTTGCAAAACCCTTTGGGTATTAATCATAGTCAACTTCTTGAAAAATAACCATATGTTACCAAGGTAATTAAAAATGTTTTTATGCAAACCAACGAACTGAACACAACGACCCAACTTTACTGACGCATCAGGACTGACCAATCACAATTTAGGTGATTCCATCGAAAAAGAAGGTGTAATGGCATTTCTTTTTTACTTTGCACAGTTGTTAACTACACTAAGCTAATCCAAAACATAAAACAAAAAGTTGGGGTTACCTTCCTCATTTTCGAGTTTTAGGGCTGTTATAAAAACTACTGTGGTTAAGAATATATGAAAGTCATATATTTGAACTGCGGATAAAGACATGAATGAAAGTGATCCTCGCAGTAATGTGCACTACTTAGGCAATAGTGGAAATAAGGCCTGAAAAAAATTCAGGCCTGTACGGGATTTGAACCCATGACCTCTGCTATACCGGTGCAGCACCGTGTGCAATGCAAAACCAGGGAATCACCTTAAGCTATTGAGTCTTCCAGCCATAGCATCTCATTGAAGTAATAAACCAATCGGTTTTCAGAAACTGTCGTAAATCATTCGACTGAAAATGACTGTTTGGTTGACTGATGACTTTTGTTTGTGTTGTCAAAATGGAGTACCTTTACTTGAACTAGTTAACTGCACGACTGCACTATTATTTATTTATTTATTTTTTAAATTTAGGGGAAATTCTGACCCATCAGAAAGGGAACCTCTCACTATTAACAGCAGGAAGAGGACAACAGTTGAATGAAATGTTGACAAGTGTTTAAAATGTAAAGTTGGATTTAACATGTAGAAACATGTCACGATGACTCTTCGCCGAGAAGTTGAACTTCGTAACCGGAAATATAAAGGCTTGTTATTTAATGCTCAATAAATTATTTTGTGTCTTAATAGGGTTACAACATTCTGTGTTCGGCTCCATAGTATATACACAAAACCAGCCTCCCGTCCGGGGAAGGGAGACTTTTACACAGTCAACGGTGCTGATCCCAGATTTCCTAACCCGTTCCCAGTCGTCTTTAGCACTAACACAACAAAGGGGACGATAGGGGACGATGTTCTCTTCTTTTTTTTCTTTCCCACCCTCCCCACGCGCACCTCTCGCATAAAGGTAGAAAGACTGACTGGGGATGAGTGAGACAGACTCTCCTAGGATTCAAGGGGCGACACTCCCATATTTTCGGCTGTCAAGGTATATATCAGGTTTATAAGCGATGAACAGTAAAAAAGTGCTTTCATAGAGTTTAAAGGAAGGATATAGTGACGTCTGTAATACAATGACGAGGACCTTCTTTGTTCGGTGCTTAAAAGAGGTGTATCTTAAGAGGTGAAAAAGATAGTAATCCACGGCTAGCTTGGTACCACTTAGCGGTTACTGCCACTTTCAATAACATGCGAACTCAAGGGCACAACTCGCTATTTCGTTTCATGCTGCAGTCGGTGTTTCTTGTGACTGACATCTAAAGGAAATGCAATCAAAATGGATCAAAATCGCTGAATCACAACTCAAGAACATGACTGTGGCGACCTTTTCACACATCGCACAGGAGATGTAGGTTCAATAAGAGTACGGAAGTCTTTCAAAGAACCTTTCATAGCCCTGGACAGTAGAAGCTACTAACTTCCCTATCTTAAGACCGAACGCTACCTCCGTAAAAATCCTTTTATTCTCCGAAAACAAAGGAGTCAATTTCAGACTTAAATTCGATTATTCCGTTAGTTAGTTTCTCTCCCTTCAGCTAATAACATCATATAGGGAAATTCCATAACTGCAGGCTGAATACGCCCTTATAACGCTTTAACCTTTCTTGAGACACGTTCTGTCCCAAAATGCGTGCGAAGTGTTTCCAGTGATGGACAAGTGTAGCAAAAACCAAAACCAAATTAATCACTAAGCCCAATCAGGAGAAAGGAAAATATCTCAAAAGCCAATAAGCACTCAGGATAAAAACCAGCAAACTGCTTGACGAGCGTGGTAAACGCGGCTGAATGAGCCGTGATTGGTTTTAGTTTGCATCTGACTGATTGACAGGTTGGTGCGAGTTTTCTGAACCAATCACAAAGCAAAGTGAAGAAGAACCAAATAAATCCCGGGTAACTGTTGATAATATCCTCTCGAGCTCAACGTTACCGTAATTACCACCAACGTTTCGCTTTTTTCTACGGGAAAAACAGTTAGCATGAAATATGTAATAAATTAAGCTACGTACAAAAAAAAGCTACCGTGTTATTAAAAGTAACAGGTCCCTTCCTAAACGAAATAATATCCCACCTACGATATTTAATATTCAGGCGTTGAACAAAACACCTCAGTGCTAAATTCTTAGGAATACATTATTAAATAAATTGTTTGGTTTATTGTTTTGAGCCTTAGGGTTCCTTAATTCCTTTTAAACGAAGTTTAAAATGTTGATGTTGAGCTACCTGAGTAGAGTACAAAAGCATACAATTTCAATACAAGGAGACTAATTCCAAATAATGTACTTTTTTTGAGACAAATGCACTAGAAAATCAATTGAAAACGCTTCAAATACAAAAACACAACATACAACAATTGTAAATGGACGAGCAAACTACACCGCTTTAAGACTTCACTGATGAACTTATGAAATCTGAAGTGAGGTACTATAAATGCCTGGACATTTCGGGAACCACTTGAATGTTAACAATCAACCTTAACAGCCCCTTTCAGAACACTTGACGTTGTCTCCATAACCGACTCGAGATAATTTCTGCCTCCTGACCCTGAGGGCAACTTGGTCGCAGCCTAAGTGTTTAATCATATTTTCTACTGACTTATGTAAATGGAATTAATTTAAATTTTTTATTTATTCTTCGATTCAAAGGCGTTTCTACTTCGTCGCTTTTTTCAGACGAAATTTGCCAACAATTTCTCTTCCTCGTCCTCAAAGAACTGTCATGCAACAATCAAACAAATTCTTCTGTGGATTTTTGGAAAGTTAAATATCGTCCTACTTAAGTGCTAGTATCTATCCATGCCTCTTGATCAACATAACAAATAATACCACCATCTGGACGCTGTGCAGTAGCAGGCAATTGACTGACAACTTCTTTTTTAAAAAATATCGATTTCTTTGATCACCTCAAATTCACTCAACCAACCTAACCCCTACTCAACATACAAAATCTAGTCTAACCTGTCTGAAAGAATTTTATTGGTGACCAGTATCATGTTCATTCCGTGTTTGTAAAGCTACCGCACTTTCTACCATTCCTACTAATTACACTTAGCTAAGCAGTTCTAGATATGTTAGTGGCACTTTTCCTTTTTGACTTCCCCTCTCGCCAATCATCCAATCGGGGTCCAATCCAGGTGTGCTGTAAACCGTGATCACCTGGGAACGAGAGACATTAAACACTTGGTCAGCCTCACTACAGTAACTGGATCTTCCTTAACACACCTCATGGTCAAGGACAGGATATCAAACGAACAAAATGGGTCTTGCAGGTTTAACTACATTTTGTCTTTGTGCCAATCTACTATTCCTATGGCTACTAATGTCCTGCAACTGTCATGCAGAACCAGTACATGAAAAAAACCCTCTCATCTCCTAATTCATCAAAAGGAAAAAAAATATAAACAGTCTGAACCAAATCTTAGGGACAAATGTTGCTGGTAAGTTTTCGTATGGGTCAATTTTCCCACTACTCTTTTAAACATCTAGTGAGGTGAAGTAGGAAGAAGTAAGTAACTTAAAAACATCTCTTTCCTTCCTTGAATTAAATACAGACATAAAGAGACAAGTGGGATGGACTAATGCCTGCCACGTGTTACTGTTGGAATTTCTGAGGACTGGAAGGCAACCGAAATTCCATTGGCAGAACAAATGAATTCAAATAAAAGAAGGTCACATGTAGAAAGAAGAGTAGAAAAGAAAACTATTTGAATACACTGATGTGGTTCCTAAGCTGAAAGAGACATAGCTTTTAACCCTATTTCACTCTCCTCGACTGAATGGATCTGAATAAGTGACAGATTAAAGAACGAGTGTGGTAATTATTTACTACTCTTTCCTGAGATCTAAAAGCTGTGAAAAGCGTATGGCAAGTACGGAAGTTGAAATAAGCAAAAATGAATGACAGATTCTGAATAGAAAGATCAGTAACAACAGTAAATCTGCCCCACCAAGAGTCTTTGGTACCAGAACAATAGCATCAGTAGTGTTTATTCTTTTACAACCAGGAATGTCCAAAAGGAATCTCTTTGCAGTATTTCATACAGTTTAAGAGAAAAAGTTA